CGTACGGCTGAGAGATCGGGCAGGAATTGACAGTAGGATGTATCACATGTGTGTGTTTGTCATCATCATCTTTAGCCAATTTGTAAACCCGCAGACTGCTTCAAACTTATGTTGTCTGCTCATCTCCAGTTATCGCATTTTGGAACTGGGAGCTGTTAACTGCGTTGACAACTCATCTCCCATTAGTTCCCCCTGCCGTGCAATGTGCTGGCCATCGATCTTACGCCGTCCATGTTTGAGTCTCCACGTCGGCAGCCGACGAGTCAGGGAACAGAGAATTCGTCGCTTCGTTGCAAATAACAGAACTACGCTAGACGTCTGTCTCTCAGCACCTTCGATACATTGGTGAGGTCGGCTAGTGCCAAGACTCGTTCGTTTCTTATGTGACCGAACCACTTGGTCTTCAACAACCGTCGCCATCGACGCTGTGTAGATTGTCCAGCCAATATTCCTCTGTACTTGTGTCCTCGAGAAAAGATGTTCTGACAGTACGCCAGTAGAGACGGGTCTTGGTGGCGACCGCTATTCCCCTATGAGTACAAACGGTTGTACGGCTCTTGAAGATGAACGATGCCAGCACAATCCGGCCGTTCAGGTCCTGTTCACAATTTCCGTTCGTCGAAATGACAGTGCCCAGATATTTGTCCTGCAACACTTCTTCGATGGTACTGTTTCCATGGGACAGCTTCGGTATCCTCTGCACGCCGTTCCTGATGATAATAGTTACATATGAGCTCTGCACCATATCCAGCAGCCGTTGGTGTGTGGTTTTATCCGGAATGGCGTTTCTTTGTAACTGGGTATACTCCTCGCTGTTTCTGGTGGTCTAACATTTTTTATTCACATTCTTCTTTAGGTATAACGGAGTGGATTGTAGGTTTTTGCTGTTCATTTTTTGTTCGATCTTCGTTTCGTCACAGCCCGGCAGGCAGCGAGATTGGGGCGGAACTTGTTGATGTCTTTTTTGAATCAGTGCACCAACGACAGAGATTATATCCTCTTCAGCAGTTTATCCATCTGAAGGAAATCAGTCTCAGGTGATTATGCTGAAGCGAGAACCCAGCACGAGACTATAAATTTCGAAACGAACACTGCTTAAGGTTGCAGTCAGGCTGTGCGAAAACTTTGGAAACGTTTGGCCCAATCCTGAAACAACCCGAGG